TAACCGTTACAACTCTGAACGTCATATATAACGCAATGATTTTCTAAACAAACTAGGCAAATCATAGAACATATTGCAAATTTTTTAATGCACAATAATGACTGGTTTGTGTCCAATACGAGTGCACAAGCAATGACGCATTAATCGATTTGGCAGTGATTTTTTTTAAAAGGTCATCCGAGCTCTCTAATTTGGTCAATTTCAGGTCAATTCTGTGAAACATTTGTCACTAAGGACATCTACTCCTATTACAACAATCTCGTCTCTAAAACGGGTGCGCTAGGTGTATTATCGGTTATTCCGCTATTGCTTATATATGCGAGTGAGTTCTTCTTACTTCAATATTTGTCTTTGATAAGATGAGTACGAAGCATTTGTCGATCCTGTCAAATTTCAGCCTGTGATCGCTACGCTAGAAGGCGTCAACGAGAGCGAGTTGAAAAACACCTTGTGGGTACCGGGTTGTTTACGCATCCAAGTAAGACAGTGGACCCACAAGCAATCGAAACACTATTGTACAGCGACGATGAATAACTAGTTTTAACAACATTTGTTATATGAAGCTGAAACAATTGTAAAGAAATCCTGCTAATAAATCTCAGTGTATAACCTCTGGATTAAGGGTTCCGGGAAAAGAGGAAAAGTAAAACATCATAACTGTGACAAGGAGATCATTTTTGGGCGAAAACACTTGCACAAATGGAATCATAGATCAACCACTTTATGGTTTTTTTTTCTGTAGAAAAGAATGGCATTCTGGAGAACTTTTGCTAATGAAGGTAAATACCGAATAATTTTAGTGGCTCAAGAGCAAGGTTTGGGAAAAGAAGAACTTAGAGCTGTGATACAAAGACTATTTGAGGTTAAAGCGCTAGAGTGCGTGAAATTGTTGAAAATAGCCACCATCTTGTAAGTAACTCTTTAGATAAGGGGAACGGCGATTTCTCAAGTTCAGCTGTCACCAGACACTCGAATAGGGGGCCTAGCTAATTTGCATCAGGACCTGAGAAATCGCCGGCTTGTCTAGAGGATACTTCAGCAAAACGAAAGAACCTTTAATTATGTACATTGAGTCGTGTTTTTCTTCATAAAAAAAGTTAACATTTACAGAATGAAAAGATACATCTTGAAAACCATCTTCTACGTTTGTTCTATATCAAGATGAGATTTTTTGCAAATTGAAACAGAAAGAAGCGAAAAATTCAATAAAAACGCGAATTGTGCCGATACCTGTACTGACTACCTTACATTTCTCTCCAACCGTATACTAATGTTTAGTGTTCAATTTTTGGAATAAAAACTCT